ATCTATCTATCTATCTATCTATCTATCTATCTATCTATCTATCTATCATCTCTATCTATCTGTCTGTCTGTCTGTCTGTCTGTCTGTCTGTCTATCTATCTACCTACCTACCTACCTACCTACCTACCTATCTCTCTCCCACCTACCTACCAATCATCTATATATCTGTCTGTCTGTCCCATTTCATGTTTTTGTGTTTTCAACTATGAAAAGACCTCTCTGCCTTTTTTTCCTATTGGGAAAGAGAATGGGAAGAAAGAGCACTAAGTATATTTCTTCTGAGTCCTCGAGAGCCCACCTGTGGTGCATGGCTGTAAGATGTGCAGATCATGATCAGTTTGTCGTGGGCCCTGGGGCTGCAGAGGCAAAGGCCGCTGGATCCTCAAGTAGGATGGCAGTATGTCCTTCCATTGTGGGGTTTAGTGTCAGCCGGCACGGGTTGCTAGACCTCTGAGAGCAGGTTCCTGTGGGATTCTGGGATTCTTTATAATTTTTATACTTTATTTGGTATGCGAGGTGGAGGGGAGGAAGTGGTCTTGTCTGTTTTTAGAGTTCTCTCAGGTATCCCTCAGTCCCGTGTGCAGCATTTCCTTGCTGGCTACCTCTCCACTGTAGTAGAGATGGTGTGACTTGTTAGGCACTGTTTTTCACTTGAGATTTCACACACAGTAGACCTCGGGCAGGGTGACCTTCACCTGTGCGGGTATGAAAGTCATTTCCCCACCTCCCCTGGTCCTTATCCTGTCAGTGCAGCTGTGTGCGGAGCCTGTGACCCGGTCCCATCAGGAACAGCAGGGGGCACTTAGCAGAGCCTGCTGTCTGGGAGTTCAGTGGGTCAGCCTGCCCCGCCACAGTGTGGTGCCACCAGCAGCCGTCTTTGCCTCCACATTGACAGGTGACGCTTTGGTGAGTCATTTACCTCCTCCCTTAGACATTAAACAGTGGTAGCTTTAGCATGAAACTACACGTTGGCAAATTTCCAAGAAATATCCTTATCCAATTAGCGGAGGAGGAGGAAGCCATAATAAAAACACCTCATCATGCTGTCAATGGCTTTTAAATTATTGAGAGGCTTTGAGATGTTTCTTACCCTATGGCTTTCATATTTCTCTGTTTGCCGGCCCTGCTTAGTGTGTTCTTGAGACTCCCTGACACATGTAGTCAATGGAAAGGGGACTTTCTAACTGAGACCTCCGCCATGTCTTCCCCTTCTTTGAGAATGGCGCGCGCGCGCGTGTGTGTGTGTGTGTGTGTGTACTTTTCTGAGTAAAAAGGCTAGAAGCTGGCACTAGCTGTCTTCCTTAGTTGCTCTCCACTTTTTTGAGATAGGATCTCTCACCGAACCTGCAGTTTCAATACGTTGGCTAGGTTGGCTGGCCAGGAACTCCAGGGGTCTACCAGCCCCTGCCTCCCCAGCACTGGGCTGAGGATTCAAGCTCAGGTCCTTGCTTAGCTGACTGAACCATCACCCCATCTTCTAGATATTTTTTCCAGGACGCTGAAGATGAAATCTAGGGCCTCATACATTAGTGTGTTACCAGGGAGCACTACTCTAGGTTTGGACATTAATTCCAATTAGTGATTTCCTTTAGCAGATTTTAAGGCACCGTGAGCATTTTTACCTTCTGTGGTGATACTCCTGTGCTTTTTATTCACCAGGTAATGAGAGGCATAAAGAGGCAGATGCGTTCTTGGAAACCAGGAGGGAGTGTGAAGCCAGGGCAGAGATTATGTGTGCATTCCTGTAGACAGTGGCTGTCCACATCCTGGTGAGGAGTCTCAGCAGGCTGGTTTGATTTCCAGCAAACTTCCTAATTTCTGTGGTATTGG